GTGGAGCACTGGGTGTTATGCACAAACAATGAATCATGGAACACTACATCAAAAACTAATGATGTAATGTATGGTGATTAACATAACAATAAAATTATTAAAAAAAAAAGAAAATCTCATTATTCTCAAGGGACATTTATTTGATTTTAACATAAACATTAGGAAAATTTATATTATAATTAAAATATGATACTTAAATACCAAGAATAATTCTCATCATTTCTGTTCATGCACTAAAGGTCAATTAATCTATACTCGGTACTTGACAAATATTTTTAAATTTAATCATCTTAAGATCACTGTAAATGTTTTATTTCAATATTAAAAATGAGAAGCTGAAGTCAAAATGCTTAGGTAACTTTCCCAACATACTACGCTTGATAAGTGGCATAGCCAGGATTCAAATAAATATATGCCACATTCAAATAAAAGTAGTCCTTTACTCTTTGCTGAAATGTGAACTTTCCTCATAATGCTTCCTTTTCTTCCACTTGATCCCATAGTCATTTATTGAGCTTCTATCATGTACAAAATACAACAGCATAGGTACTGACTTTTGTCTATGGGCTTCAAGATACTCCTAATTATCTTCTTCAATCCATTTAAAGATTCTGTTTTATATATATGACATATATGACCAGTAAAATTAAAAAATGTAAGCTACATTTCCCGTGATTTCTTTCTTTTCACATATTTCTAAGTTTTCTACAAAAGTACACTTTACTATTAGATCAATATCTCATATTAATTTTTAGTCTGAAATTTTCCTTCATTAACCATACTTACTTGCCTCTGTTCCTTGCTCAGGCATCAATCAAGAGGTTCTTTGGAGAACAGTAGGTTGCCTACTTAGAGTCAGTAAATGTAGGAACCATAGAGGATAGAGGATTAGAATTAGAAACCCTGAGCCCTTATATTAAAAAAAAAATGTGTAAGGTAAAGATGCCTAGAAGTTAAATGAATTTCTGAGGCTCACACATCTGTTTAGGGAGTCCAGGCACTGAGGTTCTCAAGTTCTCAGGCTTTCATTATACTTCTGCAATGCCTTCAGCCAGTGCTCAGTACTGTCTGCACATTTTTACTTGGCTTTTTCACTTCTCTAATTGTTTATTTTGTTTCCTGTTTGTGACCATGTTGTCCTTCCCATGGATACAAGTTCTTTGAAGTCAGGCATTAACTTAATCAGAAAGTCCTGGTATGTTTTTGAAGTGTCCCATTGAATTCTTTAAACAAGATATTGGACATGTCTGAAAAGTATTACAAATGAAAAAGCTACATAATATGTATTTGTGGTCCTAGAACAATGCTGTTAAAATCAGCCCATGATTTTTCTAATGAGATCAGAAAGCTTGTATATCAAGTCTTAACTGTGCATGAAGCAATCAGACTCTTTGAAAAGACACTTCCACAGAAAAAGAAAATACAAATCAGCCAAAGAAAAATTAAAAATCACTTTCTTAGTTGATTTTTGAAATGCATGGATTTGTTTTCATATTTTTAACAGTATAAAGAATTGAATTAGCATTAAGATCAGTGACAAAACACTTTAATTAATATTTTCTATCTCAATATCATTCTAAAATAAGAAAATATGTCTGTGTAGTTTGATGACAGGATAATCAACAATCAGCAAGAGCACTTAGTGGTCAAATAAACATTAACTGTATGAATGAAGAAATTAAAAATATTTATTACTATAGGTTTTCTGCAGTTTTTATATTTTACATTTCAACTAAAATAACATTTGCCAAAGCCAAATGTATGGCATATTTAAATACAGACATTTACATGCAACACACATTTAAAATTAAATATTTCCCTAAAGTAGAGACATATATACTTATTAGCATAATCTTATTTGAATAATATAGTATTAAATGACTCAATGAGACTTGGAACAAGAACACAGCCAATGGGGGAATACTTTATTTATAAGAACAAATGTAGCAGATGCATGAGTCTCCAGAGCTTTGGACTCTTTGCTTCTTTACCTCCTCTCATTTCTAATTTTTATCCCAGTTCTAAAAGTCCAAAAACGAAACCTAACGACTTTTGGGATAAATATCCTCTGGGCCTCATTCAAACCACTGACTGCCTACTACTTTAGTAGCAATTTCTGTTAACAGATGAGAAGATGCCCCTAGTCCCAACCTGGAGCTATGTATAATCTGGTCATGTTTTTATGACCATTAGAAATGTGCTCCACTTACTGGGTAAGTCCATGTTCACTTAAGAATGAGACCAAACGTGGTTCCCATTCTCAGTTATCAATGTGGGTTATGTTTAACCTGGAAGTTCTATGTGTCTTCCCCAACGTTCCTGTTTCTAGCTCGTAACTAGAAGTGATACATTGCTTATTCTTGAACCAGGGTTAGTAATCCAAGAACAAATGATTGTCCTCTCTTATTGTAAGAAACGGACCTCTTCTACTCTCTCTATGCCTGAGAGAGAAAGAGTCTTCATCGTTATGGAAAATGTGTTCTGAATATATGGATATCTGAGCATTAACTTTTTTACATGTAGAAAAAAATACCCAAAATAGATATTTGGTCTAACTATTGACAATTTTGCAAAAGCTTAACTTTAACTCAACTACGGTCTTATAAAACATTGTTATTACTTCTTTACTTTCTTTCCATTAAGTAATAAGTTTTTCTGACTATGAATGGAATGAAGTCAAATGGAAGGCTTTACAGAATATATTGGCGTATATAGTATGTGTTGTTATAAGGTAAGTTTTGATTTACATTTTTTAAAATCCTTTGACATGATGCATTTTATTTTAAAAGCTGTACTCATTTGTTAGAAGTAAACATGCTGTATATTAAAAGCAGATTACAAGTTTGCCATCAAAATGAACAAAATTAATTTTCTTTATAACCAAATGGCAACATCTGACTTTACATCCTGGAACTCTGTACAGGTGAATGAGCGTGATCGTCTTCTAAGATTTGTTGGTCTCTGAGGTCTTCCTTCTCTCAAGTCTAAATAGATGTCAGATTTCAGAAAACGTGTGTAACTGTCTTGTTCCATAAGCTGATACACTCTGCTTTGTGCAGCATCAAAACTATGTAGGGTAGGTTGGGTGATGTTCTTAGTAATAACTTCTTTGGTGTGAAAATCAAGGTTAACCTGGATGATAATAACAGAAAAGTATGATTATGGTCAATCTACTTAAGTAAACACTTTTGAAAAACAAACAGTGCAGGACTGATCCAATGTTGGAATGGGCATAAGGCACTTGGATGCTTTTGTGATTTTTTTTAAGTCTAGGGATCCAATGATTTACTCTGGGCTGGCATTTCATCTGGCTCTTCTCTTCCTATGCTCCCAGTCCTTCTCACACTCTGCTAATTTAGAATAATGAAACATTGTAAATATCATATAGACCATTAGGTTAACCCATTTTCAAAGTGGAAACAAAACTTCATAGAAATTAAATTATTTTGAGTGAGGGCAAAGGGTGAGTTTGGGGCATATTTGGGATTTCAGTGTGGGGCTTTTGTTTTATCCCTGTGCTTTTTAAATTTTATTATTATGCTTTATTACAAGCAAGTGTGTGCTGAAAATGGATAACTTTTAAAGATATAAAATCCTTTCATGGTTTTTACCAAAGCACTACTGCTGTATCTGATTCTGATAGATGTAAGTTTTCATGTAGGGTTCCTTCCTTTTTTCTCATGGGTAACACCATACCACTAGCTGCTTTTTAAAAAATCTGTTTATAAAATTGGCCATGGGAAAAACAGAATAATGCACTGAAACACAGAATAGATTGAAACATATTGAAACAAGAAAAACAATCATCATTCCATGTGAAATGATATCCACATAGACAATGCTACCTCATGGACAATACTAATTTATAGTGAAACAGAACTCTAAACATTGATAGCCTACCAGTTCTACCACTTCAGCAATGAAACACTATTTATTGAACACATAATAAAAATACAGAAACTCTATTTAAATTACTTTTGAGGGCAGTCAGGTAATGTTTGCTAGTTTTATAGTTTTATTGCTATAGTTTTAGCAGTTGTATCACACAATTATCTCACCCTGAGCTTGCAGTCAAAGAAAATCACATTTGTTTTTTCACTCGAGCTGTTGTCAAATTAGGTTTCCCTCATCTAACAATTATGAAATTTTCTTTTAGTCTATCTTAAAGTGAAGAATAATTATTTTGGGACAATCAAACTTTACATAGGTAGATTGAGCTCACACTAAATGGTACAATATACAATCTTTTTAATTTGTCTTGTCTTCCTCACTTATAGAAATTGTTAGTTTTGATGAGACATTGCTTATGCTTAGGTGATTAATATAGATAAGTGAATGAATCTAAATGTTGCAAGTAATTGTATTTACTTTTAGTCTAGAATAAAAAATAACCCAAAGGAATGACTTCAATTATACTTTTACTTTCATGGCAAAGTCTTACAATGTATTCTGTTTGTATGTAGGAATTTATAGAAATATCCATTTTTGCTTCAGTAAAATCTTGATCTTTCTGGTAGAATATATGAGGATACAGATTTGATAAAGGCAGATTCTCTCAAAAATTTTTCAAGCAGTTTTAAATTTTCACAATCATCTTTACTGTACCTCTTGTGGAGCATCATTCTGTATAAATTTCTCATATATTGCTTTTGCTTTAAGGATAATTTGTTGAGGGTCTTTACTTTTCTTGAAATCTTCACAGGCTATCCAAAATTCAATGTTTTCCTCACTGAATTCTGTTTTAAGGAATCTGGTAAAAGTCTCCAGTCCATCTACCAGGAAAAGAAGTGATATATTTTAAATATACAATATTAATGCTGAAGAATTTTACTACTTGATATTTTTTTCCTCCAAATATTTATTTAAATTTCAGTTAGTTAACATGCAGTGTGATACTGGTTTCTGGTATAGAATTTAGTGATTCATCACTTATATACAACACCCAGTGTTCATCACAAGTGCCCGCCTTAATACCCATCACCTATTTAACCCATCTTCCAGCCCACCTCCCCTCCTGTATTGTACTACTTGATATTATAGCTATGTCTTCCCTCTAATGCAGTGAAGAAACACACATATGCACAATATACATGGGAGACCTCATATAAATTAGCTGTAATCTTCACAATTATGAAAAGTAAGTATCAGCCCTGTTGAAATGAGGCCGGTATCATACACAGACCTGAGGAAGAAGGACAAACCCCTACTCCGGATCTTGCTTTGGGTTTCTTTCAGGTCCCTCGGTGCCTTTCTCAGGGGTGTGGGGGTTATTCTACAGAACCAAGAACCTATTCCACCTGGAGCTCATTCTCTCCACCCCCCTGACTTTCAGACTATGCTTCTATACTCAGGACCCTGGAATTCCCTGTCTAAAAGCTTTATGTTGCCAGGGTTTGCACAGTCCTCTTCCCCAAGTTCATCTACTAAAGGCACACTGACTCAATGGTATGCATACCCTCAGAATAGGACTTGAATTTGAAAGCTGTGGTGTCCACCCAAACGTGCAAAGAGGACTTTCACAGTATGGAACCAAACCATGGATAGAAAGAGAAGGAAGGTAGGCATCTTGATAGAATACAACTGTAAAGAGTCTGAGAATTTTAAATTCAAGCCTAATGGTTACACAGTATATTTGTATAAATAAAAGGATAAAACATATATTTTTAACAGTTTGTTAGCTTGATTTATAGCTCTTAAGCATTTAGATATTTAGTATGGGGTCTCCATTTTTACATTTGTCCTGAGCTCCATCAGTATAAAGTTTTGTGGAAGATGGCCAGAGTTCAAATTCATGTTTAGCTAGTTACTATGTAGTCCTGAGTGAAATACTTTTCTTTCTGTGCCTGTTTTTCAATATTTAAAATTAAGATAATGATGATACCTACCTGATAGGGCTGTTTAGAGAATTAAAAGCATTGATCCAGGAAAGATGGAGTAGGAGGACCTTCACCTTGTCCCACAGATACAACTAGATAACATCCATATCAGTGTAAATAACCCAGAGAATGACCTGAGGCCTGGCAGAACAGACTCTCCACAGCTAAATGTAGAGAAGAGGCCATGCTGAAGAGGATAGGAAGGGTGGAGATACAGTTGGGAGCCAAACAGACCCATGAGACTGTCTGCAGGAGGGAGGGACACAGCAGGCACAGAGAGGGGAGAGAAACAGACCCTTGTCGCCAGGCACCCCAGGCTCAGCCACAATAGTAGAACACATAACACACATAGGAGACAGATTCTGGTGAATAGGGAACATTGCACTGCAGGGCACCACAGGACTCTTCATAAGGCCACTACTTTCAAGAGCAGATGTAGCTGACTTTCCTAACATATAAAAACAGACACAGAGAGACAAAATGAAGAGACAGGGGATATGTCTCAAATGAAAGAGCAGGACAAAACAGAAAAATAGACTTAGGGTATTCAGCAATACTATCAAGTGTAGTAACTTTACCATTATATGGATCCCAGAATAAAAAGAGAGAGAAAGGGGGGCAGAAAATTTATTTGGAGAAATGATAGCCAAAAAATTCCCAAATCCAAGGAAGGAAATAGAAATCCAGACCCAGGAGGTACAGAGAGCCCCCAATAAAATCAACCCAAGGAGGTCCACGCCAAGACACACAGTCATTAAAATGGCAAAAAGTAAAGATAAAGATAGAATTTTAAAAGCAGCAAGAGAACTACTGGCTATTTACCCCAAAGATACAAATGTAGGGACCCAAAGGGGTACATGCACCCCGATGTTTATAGCAGCAATGTCCACAATAGCCAAACTGTGGAAAGAGCCAAGATGTCCATTGACAGATGAATGGATAAAGAAGATGTGGTATATATATATATAATGGAATATTATGCAGCCATCAAACGAATGAAATCTTGCCATTTGCAACGACATGGATGGAACTGGAGGGTATTATGCTGAGTGAAATAAGTCAATCAGAGAAAGACATGTATCATATGACCTCACTGATATGAAGAATTCTTAATCTCAGGAAACAAACTGAGGGTTGCTGGAGTGGTGGGGGGTGGGAGGGATGGGGTGGTTGGGTGATAGACATTGGGGAGGGTATGTGCTATGGTGAGCGCTGTGAATTGTGTAAGACTGTTGAATCACAGACCTGTACCTCTGAAACAATACATTATATGTTTAAAAAAAAAAAAGGAAGAAGATAGCAGGAGGGGAAGAATGACGGGGGGAAATCGGAGGGGGAGACGAACCATGAGAGACGATGGACTCTGAGAAACAAACTGAGGGTTCTAGAGGGGAGGGGGTGGGGGGATGGGTTAGCCTGGTGATGGGTATTAAAGAGGGCACGTTCTGCATGGAGCACTGGGTGTTATAGGCAAACAATGAATCATGGAACACTACATCAAAAACTAATGATGTAATGTGTGGTGATTAACATAACATAATAAAAAAATAAAAAGTAAAAGCCGCAAGAGAAAAGAAAACAGTTACATACAAGGGAAACCCCATAAGTCTATCAGTTGATTTTTCAGCAGAAACTTTGCAAGCAAGAATAAAGTGGCATGATATATTCAAAGTGCTGAAAGAAAAAACAAAACAAAATAAAAAAAACCTGGAACCAAGAATCCTCTATGCAGCAAGGTTATCATCCTGAATAGAAGAGATAAAGAGATTCCCAGACAAACAAAAATTAAAAGAATTCATGACCACTAAACCATTCCTACAAGAAATGTTAAAAGGAGCTCTTTGAATGGAAAGGAAAGACCATAAGTAGGAATAAGTAGAAAGCACAAAAACAGTAAAATTAAGCATATCTATAAAAATTGGTCAAGGGGTTCACAGACTAAATGGATGTAAAGTATGATATCAAATACCTAAAACATGGAGGGTGGGGGAGAAGAGTAAAGAATGGGTTCAAATGTAAGCAATCATCAACTTAATATAGACTGTTATATGCATAAGATGTTAGATGAAAACCTAGTGGTAACCACAAATCAAAAACCAAAAATAAATAGGCAAAAAATAAAGACAAAGGAATCCAAGTATATCACTAAAGAAAGCCATCAAACCATGAGAGAAGAAAGCAAGAGAGGAGAGAATTAAAATTTTAAAGCATGCAAAGTGCTTAAAATGGTGACTGGCACATAGTATTATACTTTGTGGGTTTTGATGGTCTTAGTGACTATCATTTACTTAAGGCTCAGTCAGGTAAAATTTACATAATTAGAATGTGGCAGAATTAGAATTCATCCCTGAGACAAACTGACTTTAAAACTAGTGCTCATTCAACTTTTTATGATATTCTAATTTTTTTGGCTTACACACATTTTTTAAAAATTAAACTTCTTTATTTTGAGAAAATTATAAATTCACATGTTGCTGTAGGAGAGAATAGAGATCCCATGTACTCTTTATCCAGTTTCCACCAATGAACATCTTGCACAACTCCACAGTTGTCGAACAGTGAAGAGTTAGCAGTGCCAACCCCCCACTCCATGCAGTCAAAAATCCACTTATAACTTTTGACTCCTCAAAAACTTAACTGCTAATAGTTTACTGTTGACCATAAGCCTCACAGATAACCAGTCAATTAACATATATTTTGTATATTATGTGTATTGTATAAAGTATTCTTACAACAAAGTAAGCCAGGTAAAAGAAACTATTATTAAGAAAATCATAAGGAAGAGAAAATGTTAGAATGGTAACCACATTTATAGTACTGTACTGTGTTTACTGACAAAATCCAAGAGTAAGTAGACCTATAGAGTTAAACCCAAGTTGTTCAAGGGTCAACTCTAATAATATATCACAAGTAAGATAATGATATACCAGTATTTAACTATTTACCCACTGAAAAACAAAGAAGTGGGTTTTTAAAATTTATTTCATTTTGAGCAGAATTATTTTTCAAATAGATTATTATAACAACCTTCTAATTAGTGACCCTTACTCTTGGATTCCATTACTTGTTCCTACACCCTCTTAGTTTATTATTTACATTCTAGTCAGTAATATCTTTCTATATACAGACTTCATCATGTTTCTTTACTTTTAAAAATTTCCAGTAGTGTCTTTCATCTCTTTCCACTATCTTTTTCACATTCTAACCTCCAGGTACTTAAAAACATTGTGCTACAGTTGCTTGCTCACTTGTGTTTCTCATGTTACTTTTTAAGATTCATGAGATGAAGACTCTTGTCTAATTTGCCACCAAACTTTGGAACTGTGGCTCAACAAAGTCTATGTTTTTGTTATAAACATTACACTTAAGAGCAAGGGTCTTATACTAGTATTGAGGCAAATCAGAAAGAGATTGGTTTCAAAGGATCAAACTGGCTGGAAAAAATAAAGAGGATCCATGGGTCCATGGGGGATATAACGGATTGCCAGAAAAATAATCCAAAACTCTTCAAAGGAAGACAACATAGTCTACACTCCTCTATCTTCCTTTATGCTCACATACAATAAAAATTTATTAGGCATGCAAAGAAATGTCTAATGTGACCCATTATTGATAACAAAGGCAGTCAATAGAAACTGACCACGAGGTATCCAAAACATCTGAAATAGCATATAAGGACAGTAAAAAAGCTATTATTTAATTTTTTGAAGAATATAAATGTTAAAAAAGACATAATGAGTGAATAGATGCAAAACTCAGCAGAGAAACTGAAACTATAGAAACAATCAGATGGAAAGTCTAGAACTAGAATAGAAAATACCTGGGGTAAAAAATTCATTGAATGGACATGACAACAAATTAAAGACTACACAACTAGAAGAGAGTTGAATAGAAAT